CCCTAAACCTTAAGCCCTAAACCCGCGACGAGGATGGCCCTTGAGGAGGCCTTTGACATTGAGCTCCCGGACGAGGCCCGGGGCTCTGGGCTTCAGAAGGTTTATTGTTTGATTGCTTTTGTGTATGAAAAGTTTTAGGGTTTAGGAATCTGTTGTCGTGTTGTTTGCGCTTTTTCGGTTTTGGTGTGTTTGTCGGGGTTCTCTCTACAAGGTGCTGCTCTTGACTTGGGGGGTTTGGGGGTTCCTCTAAGGGTTCCACAAGGTTTCCATAGTGTTGGGGTGAGGGTGCGTTGCTTTTCTGAAAAGGGTTTAGGGTTAAGGGCTTATGGGTTTCTTCTGTTTTTGGGGGCTTGTGATGACTTTGCTCGGTTTAGGGTTTTGGGTCTGGGGCGGTCTGGGCAATTAGCATGTTTGGGGTTTGGCAAACCCTAAGTCCTAAATCCCGAAGCTCTAAGCCCTAAGCCCTCATCCCTAAACCCTAAACCCTAAACCCTGAACCCTAAACCCCAAACCCAAAACCCTCGTCCCTCGGGTTTGCGGTTTAAGGTTTAGGGTTTCGGGACCCATCCCTGAACTCTTGAGCTTTCATGAAGATTTTTTGAGGTCCTGGGAGCTCTTGCGATGCTCAGACCTTCCGATTCCTATCCCTAGAGCCCTAGAACTTCAAGGATAAAGGAAGTCATTTTAGGGATCCCACAAGAGTTGAAGCCCCCCACAAGGGTTTAAGTCCCTTGATTAAGGAATATATCTCAAATCATACTCCGGGATCCCACTAGAATTTAAGGTCTGTTCCTTAGTTGAGGGATATCGGAAGATCTGACTTGATCAGGTTTTGAGGTTCCAGGTTGGTGGCTTAAGCTTAGGTTTCAGGGATCCTTCCTCCTAAACCCTAAATCCCGGCAAGAACCCAAAAGCCCTAAGCCCTAAACCATTGATAGCATCACCAGCCTGTCTTGATTGCTACTAGAGCTCTTCGCAGTTTGGTTGGCCTGGCTGCTAGAAAACCCCTAAACCCCGATTCGGTGGGGTGACGCCAGGAGACCACCCCGTTGAAGAACTGCGGCGATGTCATGGATCTGATCCAGAGCCCCTTTGCTTTGACATCTAAGGGTTTAGGGTTCAGGGTTCAGGGTTTTAGGGCTTTAGGGTTGCGGGTTTTAAGGTTTAGGGTTGAGGGTTTAGGGTTTGGGGTTGAGGGTTTTAGGGTTCAAGGTTTAGGGTTTGCTCTGACATCTGAGGGTTTAAGGTTCGGAGCTTCGGGGGCCGAGGCAGGCTTCGGAAAAGTTTAGGGCCTAGGGTAAACCTTCCGAATCAAACTTAAAGCCTCCGAAACAGGGTTTAGGGTTTAGGGTTAGGGTTTAGGGCTTGGGGTTCAGGGCTTAGGCTTTGAAGGCGTTTTGTTGGGGGTCTTCTGGCACGGACATGTCCTAAACCCTAAACCCTAAACCCTAAACCCACGACAGCTTCGCGTCCGAGCCCAGGCAAGCTCTAAACTGCCGGCAGCGGGGCTGAGGCTGGCACGAAGGAACGCAGGGTGCTAAGGGTTTAGGCTTAGGGTTTAGGGTTTAGGGTTTAGGGTTTAGGGTTTAGACTAAGGTTTCACGTTTTAGGTCTTCCCTGTGTCCGCCATAGCGGCAGCCAGTTTTGGGGGTCATGCATGATACACGCTCTGGCTGGACCATTTCGCGAGTGAGTGAGTTTAGGGTAAGGGTTGCAATACTTCAGACTCAGGGCGTGGGAGTTTACATAGGGCCTTAAAGTTATTAGACCCTAAGCCCGAAATCCATCCTAAACCCTAAGCCCTAAACCCTAAAAGCCTAAAGCCCTACACACTAAACCCTAAACCCTAAACCCCAAAAACCCTAAAGCACTCAACTCAACCCTTTTTGGAAGGGCCTTGGGTTTGCAGGTCAAGGGCTTCAGGGTTGAACCTTTGGGACACTTAGTTCTCCATTACCCAACCTTTAGACTCTTTGGGCTCTTACAATTTAGTAGTAACCTGAAAGTAGAACCCTACACCCTAAACCCTAAACCCTAAACCCTGAACCCTAAACCCTAAACCCTGAACCGTGAGAACCCTGTATTTCCCTGGCTTGTTTTGGAAGGAAGGACACAAGAAGCGGGCTGAGGGTTCCGGATTTAAGCTTCCAAAGTTACCAGACCTGAGGGTTTAGGGTTTAGGGTCTAGGGGTTGAGGGTTGAGGGTTTAGGGTTTAGGGCTTCGGGGCTGAGGGTTTAGGGTTCTAGGGTTTAGGGTTCTAGTGGTTGAGGCTTTAGGGTTTAGGGGCTGAGGGTTCAGGGTTCTAGGGGTTGAGGGTTTAGGGTTTAGGGTCTGGGGGTTGAGGGCTTAGGGTTCAGAGATATATCGGGTGCGCAGGGACTAGGGTATTCAGTACGTATGCTACAACTGGAGTCTGTGCCTGCCCTATTGGGGGCCATCCCTGAGCCTAAACCCTACGCCCACTTGGAAATTATGTCGTATCCGATCCCCAAAGCCAATTTTGTGTTTTGGGGGCTCCCTTTTGAAACCAATTCATACTAAACCCTAAACCCTAAGCCAGTATAAGATACCCCCAAAGCCATGATCTAAGTCTTAAGGCTCCCATATTAGGGTTTAGGGTTTAGGCTTATGGGTGTTTAGGGTCCGGAGTCTGCAATGGTCGTAGGACTAATATAGGGGCTTTTGTCATTACCCACACTATGTTTGGGGTTCCTTATTATAAGTATAGTATAGTACACCCCAAAACCCTACTCTAATTATTAACTAAGGCCCCTACACTAGGATGTTCAAGAAGAGCTATGATTGGGCTTTTGTGCAGGCCAGTGCCTTGGCATTTGGTGACTTCGTTGCGTTTTTGTACCCTAGACCCTAAACCCTAAATCCTGAACCCTAAACCCTAAATCCTAAACCCTAAACCCTAAACCCTAAACCCTAAACCGTGTATGGGCTTGTGGCTAGCGGCCTGAGGGTTGGCCCTAAACGCTGTCTCGCATGTTTGCAGAAAGAGGTTTGACTGGTTGCAAGCTGCTTGGGGTTTGGGGTTTAAGGTTTAGGGTTTAGGGTGCTTGGGGTTTGCGGTTTAGGGTTTAGGGTTTAGGGTTCAGGGGTGAAGTGTCTGGGATTCACTTGCCCGCACTGAGTGCGACAGCTACGGTGGAGAAATCCTTCGTACCAGCTTCCTTCCTTGAAACCCAGCACCTAAGTTGCTGCAAGGAAGAGCCGTGCGAGTCTATGTTCCTAGGGTGAGGACATCCGTGCTTTTGGAATCTAATCCAGGACGTTCAACAACGATTTTGAGAAGAGCACTCTGGGAGGCAGCGTTCGTGGGGTCATAGAACGGCAGTACAGGGACCCAAACCCTATAAACTTGAAGCCCGAAACCCTTATCCTGAGGTGACATGGTTTTGACCTTTGTGTTCATTTTTCAACCTCATCCGAACGCAAATGGCTCAAAGTTTTGGACTTTGGAGTTCAGGGTGCACCGCGAACCCTAACCCCTAACCCTAAAGTTTAGTTCTTCCATGATGCGAAGAGCATGCAGACCTCAGAGCTCATTTATGTCATTCTTCAGGGTTCCCGGAAGTATGTATAGTTGCTGGCACCAAACACGAAGCTCCAAAACTATATCAGTTCCATCAACCCTTCACCCTACAGCGATGCGTAGTAACTGTTGTCAACCGCTCCAACACACCCACCACTTGTGCAGGCCCCTAAACCCGAAACTCTAAACCCTAAACCCTAAACCCTACACCCTAAACCCTAAACCCTAAACCCTAAACCCTAAACCCTACTCCCTACACCCGTAACCCTAAACCTCTACTTTAAGCCGATTCGTCCTTCGCTCTGACCACCCTCTGCTGCGCTCAATCTTAGCGTCTGAAGTGTAGTGTTTATGGTGGCACTTTGGGCAAGTTTACAAGTTCCCTTTTGGTTCTTATGAAGGTACCTATTCATAAATACGTTTCAGGGCCCCAAAGCTACAACCCAGATTATGGTGAGGGAACGTTCCTTAAGTAATAGTAGAACATGAAGCACTGCAGGACGCAAGGAAGATGCCTTCACGAAGATCCTAAAGCCTAAAACCCTGAACCCTAAAGCCTGAACCCTAAAGCCTAAACCCCTAAACCCTAAACGCTAAACCCCTAACCCTAACCCCTAAACCCCTAAACCCCTAAGAGGTATCGGGCTTTCTGGGTGTCTGGGGGGTCCTCATCCAGAGCGCAAGCGAAGAGCACCCGGAGGAGAAGCGTCTCGAGGCTTTTCCCAACTACCTCTCAACTCCATGACTGGGCAGAGAGAATTCAGGGTTTAGGGTTTAGGGTCTAGTCTGAATAATCTAATGTCGGATCCTTAATAAATAGAATCGGGTTTTGGGGTAGATTCTACTATAAGTATCATAAGGAACCCCCAAAACCCTACTTTTCTTGAGGCCCCTACATTAGAGAACTTAGGTTGTAGGGTTTAAAGGAAGAATTTGCACAGTATACTTGTGCATAGGTCTAGGCTAGGATCTATTGAGGCTTCAACTCTGGCGTAGTGTTGGGAGAGGGGTTGAGTATGTATGTTTCAGATGTTTCAGGTCTCACCCAACAGGTAAACTTAATTTAGCGAACGCCGGCATGTGGTTTGAATCGTGCGCCGATTTGCGGACAGGGGGTCTCTTAAACCCTACACTCTTATGTCGGGGCGTACATAGTTACCTACACTATTTTTAATTATGGTAGAATGGGCCCAAAACCCCTGTTCTAATTATTAAGGCCCCTAAACCCTCAACCCTTATAGTAGCCCTTATAGAACCCTTTAAGAAGCCCTTTAAAGGCATACTATGAGACCCTATTCTAATTCTGAACCCTGACCCTAAACCTGTTTTCGGTTCGTTCCAGGGGTTGCGGCTTCGGTCCCAGGACTGACTCTGAGGGCTTCTTGGGATGAAGGGTCGCTTCTTGGGGTTTGCTGGTGAACCCTAAAAAACCTCAACCCTAGACCCTAAATCCTAAAACCTCAACCCTAAACCCTAAACCCTAAGACCTCAACCCCAAACCCTAAGCCCTAAAACCCTTCACCTAACCTCTAAGCCCTCAGCCTTAAACCCCAAAGCTCTAAAGTCCCCACCAGCCTTTTTCAGGAACCGCTAAAGAGACCCTTTAAAGAAACCCCTTACAGGAAGCCCAGTTTCGGAGGAGGGAGGCGATTTTTCTTGGATTATCAGAAAAAGGCAAGAATGGTTTCAGCGCGAGAAGTGGCGAGAAAAGTTCAGGGGGCTTTGGGTTTAGGGGCCTTAGGGTTTTAAGTTGGGGTGTAGGTTTAGGGTTTAGGGTGTAGGTTTCGGGGGTAAGGAACTTCATCCTATAGGGGCACTCGACATTGCAGAGGAATAGGAATGTGTGGTATATCCTACCATAACCCTGCTAAGGCACCCTGGAATATGGTATTGTTCATTGTCGAAGCGCTAGGTTGCAAGACCTTGTCTAGACCCACTGAGCACAACTTTAAGCCTCGCAAGAGATCATGCAATGGTTTAGGGTTTAGGGTTTCCTGTCTATGGTAGCTTAACTTAAGTTCCTTAACAAGAGCCACGAAGATCTTTCCCGACAGTTGGGGCGTTTAGACGGCTGGGCTCCTGCATATGTTGATTCCACGTAGAACTTTTGCTAGAGGGGCCTGAATAAGGCTTGTCTGTTTAGCGTTTGCTATATCGGCCTGAGCAATTACGAAGATTATTCGGCAGGGTTCCTTATGAAAAGTATAGTGTACCACCAATGTAACATTCGAATCATTGAGGCAGGCGGTTCAGGGTTTAGAGTTTACGGGTTCAGGATTTTTGGGTTCAGGGTTTCCCGATGACCCATAAATCCGAAAACTCTTAGGTAATGTAGACACCAGACTGATGAGCACTCTTCCAAAAAAAGAGATCATGATAGGGATCCGAATATTCAGGCCTTTAAAGAAAGGGGGTTTATGGTTCAGGGTTAAAGGGACATCCCTGCGATGACTCACAATAGGGATCCTACCGTTATCCAAAGTAGATTCGTGAATTACGACCGGGGCACCGGCCAGCCGTCAAACTCAGAACTCAACTGCGAAGGTACAGGGCGCCGAATGTATTCTCCTGGTTGGCAGTGTCCTCATTCAGTGACTCCAAAGTTCTCAACTGCCACATAGAAAGTACCCAGCCTTATTTGTGGACTTGGGGAGGAAATTGCACAATAGCAGTATTCTTATGTGGACCCGCTTGGGCAGTAAGGACTTTACAAGGATCTTGACATTCAGGCCCCCTAAACCCTAAACCCTAAACCCTAAACCCTAAACCCTAAAACCCTAAACCCTAAACCCTAAACCCTAAACCCTAAACCCTAAATCCTAAACCCTGACAGTAGCCTGACTTGCTCATCAGGGGTTTGCGCTTTCAGCCCGACGCATGAAACCTGAGCTCCTAGGCCCAACACAGTAACACCATAATATAGATAGGGTTTAGGGTTTAGGGTTTAGGGTTTAGGGTTTAGGACGCCTGAATCTACTTTCTATAGTCTTCTTCGGTTTTTTTTTGAATTTTGGGCAAACAGCATAACATACCCGAAAACCCCATTGTAAGTGCTGCAGCCGCTACATTAGGCTTCACCCTAACCCCTCAACCCTCTTCGCCAAACTCTAAACCCTAAACCCTAACTCCTAAACCCCAACCCCCAACCCCCAAACCCCAAACCCCAAACCCTAAACCCTAAACCCTAAACCCTAAACCCTATTCTGCCATCCTCGGATCAGAGAGAGACCAACGCCCCCGCGCCTTTTGCCGTCAGTCAGATCAACTCGAGGACGCAGCTGGGACTCTATGCGTGTAGGGTTTAGGGTTTGGGGTTTAGGAGTTAGGGGTTTAGGGGTTTAGGGGTTTAGGGGTTTAGGGGTTCAGGCTTTAGGGTTTAGGGTTTAGGGTTTAGGGTTTATGGGTTTAGGGTTTATGGGTTTAGGGTTTCGGGCTTAGGGATGTTATGGGCAAACCCTACGGTTGATGGTATAAATCTTGCATTGCCCATAGTAAGGAATATACCATAATTCGCATAGTTTAGGGTCCTGAAGGTAATGCAGGGTTTAGATCATCAACAATATGCTTTAGGTTTTAGGGTTTAAGGTTGAAGGTTTAGGGTGCGGAGTTTGAGGTTTAAGGGCAGTTTAATGTTATGTTGTGTTACACTGTGATGTGTTTCAGCCTGCTCTAGTGTGTTATCGTATGTTCATAAAGGGTCTCATCTTAGATTTTACCGTGTATGACGCTACAGGTAATATAGTAACTTAGTGTGTTACAGTATACCAAAACCCGGAAGCAGTTCAGCGCCCCCAAACTCAGGGCCTCCACCCCGAATTTTGAAGGTAAAAAGTGGTTCCCAGGGAAGATGTGCGTGTGTATATGTACCTAAGTCTGTGTAGCGTGTAGAGTTCAGGGTCGATCTGTCCATGATTGTCTCTCTATGTCTGTGAATATTCTGTAAGGTTTTGTCGGTGTTGTAATTGAACACAAAAAAACCCACAACCGCTACAGTCGGAGATTGTCAAAGGTGTGGGAAGAACCAGGGGGCCACTCGTGTGGTTTAGGGTTTAGGGTGTACCTGTAACTCCAAACCTTACAACATAGTAGGTGATGCCCCCTTAATTGCTCTGACCACAAGGAACGACCTTGAACCTAACATGCCTCCTAAGCCAGTCCTAAGCCCTATACACTTTAAGCCCAAGCTTGGCACTACTGTTGATGGACAAAATTC